TCTTATTTTATAAGTATGTGTGTCGCTGAGTGCACGTACTTGATGTACTAGTAGCACCCTAAGTCCTAACCCCTTGCGCCAGGCTTTTTGGCTAGTTTCGTGAAGTCCTTTGCACGAGAGTTTCACTCAGGACTTAGTCACGGTTTATTGATTAGCTCCTTTGCCCGGTCCCCTGTGAGCTTCAAAGTATGTCCGCCAGATTGGTCTCACTTTCTGGAGATGTCGACATGAGCTGCAGTTTTCTTCGTCAGCGATTTGCTGGTGATAACTCTTCACTAGGCGCTGTACTGTGCCAGCACTGAAATTCAAGCTCGCAAAGCGCTTTTCCAAGTGGTCAAAGACCGAAATCCCATTAGCTGCATCCATGTTACCCTCGTGCCAGGCCACGAGTTCCCAATTAATTGTGGGTCGCAGCACGGTTGGAAAAATTCCTTCCGCTTCCAAGCAGGACTTGAACCTGGTACCCTCTGTTTCTCAATCATGGTCTTAGACCATCCCACTAAGGCACTATGACTGCCTGCCATATATATATTATGTGTGTGTGTGTGTGTGTGTGTGTGTGTGTGTGTGTGTGTGTGTGTGTGTGTGTGTGTGTGTGTGTGTGTGTGTGTGTGTGTGTGTGTGTGTGTGTGTGTGTGCTGGTACAACCTCGCCCAGGATCGCAGAGAGTGGAGATTAGCATGCAGCACCATTCCTCCGACCGAGCTCGTCACCTTAGACTTCGTTTGCACTTGTGGAAAGCGCTATCACCGTCGCCAGGACTTGACTCGCCACGCCCGATTTTGCTCATGACTTGAACACTGTTGGTCCCTTCGGGACCTGCTATCATCTCCGGATGGGCATATTGTATTGTATTGTCTGTGTGTATGTATATATCTGTGTTTGCACATACCTTTCTCTCCTTCCTGATGCGTTCAATCTTCTCCGGTGACAGAGCCAGAGAATGTGCGGCAGGTGCTGCAGAGTGCTGACGAGAATTGTCACCAACCTACACAAGTAAACAGGAAGAATATGAATGGCAAAACTCAGATACACACCTTTGGACCTTTGGAAAGCCCATCGCCGAAGGCGATGATAGATAGATACACACACACACGCACACGCACACGCACACGCACACGCACACGCACACACACACACACACACACACACACACAAACACACACCATTTGACCTTTTGGCGCCCATCGCCGGAGGCGATGATAGCGATGCTACGGCAGAAGCCAGAGCAACTTGTACTGGGATTGCACCATTCAACAGCTTGCAAGGCTGAATATTTGACCGCCACTACTCAGCCTGGTCTACACCACACAGCTAGGAAGTGGATTTTTCTGGTCAGTGAATTCCTATTTTTGGGTTTTTTTAAATGTCCCGCGCACACATCACACCACATACTCCGGCATGCACTGGCCGTTGGTAACGTACTCGCGCGATTAGAGCCCTCTCTTGAATAGCGCCCTATCTCGAATAGTGCCCCAGCCTCTAAGGGCCAGTGAAAAAATAAAGCCCTCTCTTGAATAGTGCCCCCTCCCGGCATGAAACCAAGCGCATGTGCACGTTTGGTTTCCTTTTTGCTGATGGTCTCGTCCATGTCATTGAACTGGTGGGTTCAATATCAAAATCGCAGTTTTTGTTGCCGTTCATGTTGAGTCGTGATAGTTAGAGTGAACTTTAGGCTCTATTTTCCTTTGTTTTCATGCTGGGGAATTGTGTGTTGTTCCCTATGTGGGAGCTCGCGCTTTCCTGCCGACTTGAGTTCTCACTTGACTGACTCACGACCGCCATCTAGAGCACACGGAAAGTCCATCGAACCTTCCATTTGGCAAACCTGCAAGAAAGCACCACTTCCTGCTCATTACACAGTGTTTCGGGGAATTCACCCTCATCAGTTGAACTTGAGTAGGTTGAGGAAGATTGTGCCTGAAGAGCACCACTTATATAGTGCTCTCCAGGCACCAACATCGCCAGGGATACAAACTTACAGAGAGGCTAAGTTTCCAGCTCGACAAACACCTCGTGAACACCAGATGGCAGCATGAGTCAGTGTCGCTCATGGAGGTGCAGAATTTTTGCTGGATTACGTAAATGTACCAGCATTGAAAAATAGTGCCCTCTCTTTAATAGTGCCCCATCTGTGATTGACAGTGAAATAATAGTGCCCCTGGGGCACTAATAGCGCGAGTACGCTAACCACCCAGGAGAATGAAAGAAAAGTCAGGAGTACTCTGAGAAGGAGAAGAAAGACGTGTGTGACCATAATTGTCGAGAATCGACCCCGCAAGCTCTCGACTGGAAATCGCTGCACATACCACTGCACCATATAAGGCCATCATTTTTTATAGCTATGTTTCGCGTGACCCGCACGCATACGTTTTGATTTTTTTCGGAAAAAAATAAAAAATCGAACATGCACAGTGAGTGTACGATCGTGCGAGTCATCAGTGTGGACAGGTTGCATACGGCGAAGCTGGGATTCAGAAATGGCCTCTAGCCTAGGCCAGCGCTGGTAAATCGTTTGTTCGGCATCTGGGAGCAATATTCTATGAGCTTACACCAGACCGCATTGATCGCCTAAGCTGAGAGGAATGCGTCGTTCCGGAGCTCTTTGCACTGCTGCTGAAGTCTGTGTACAATATTCCAGCGAAGCATAGGCACCATGACCAACAGTTCCCTCCTAGCCTCTGTCCAAAGCGAATATTTACTCATGCTGATAACCCAGATGTTGTGCTTCGATGTACGATTTTTCTCTCGAATGTACACCATGCACAAGCTATTGTGCTATGTACAGTGCATACACCTCTGATGAGCCTTTTTATTATTTTTGCAACTTTTTATTTTTTTCCACCTCTCGCATATGATTCTGGAAGTTGAACTGACGCGAAACATAGATATAAAAAATGATGGCCTAACACACACACACACACACACACACACACACACACACACACACACACACACACACTTGTACTTGTACTTGTTGCTCACTGCCAAAACCGGTCACGTGGGTCTCCCCGGGAGAGGGGAGAGAGACTCAAAAGGAATCTTGGAAAGATGACTCAATTGGCTATTGAACCGCCCAACGGCCAACACCCCCTGAAATCCCCAAAACTCTGAGTGGACTTGAAAATGATCCCACTTATGGGCTCACCACACCTCAGTAAGTGGGTGAGGACAAGGTGCAGAAAAAGGATTGACGGCATCAGGGTATCCGTCCCGGGATCCAACTGCAGTTACCCCTGCCCCCAGTGAAGGTAATATTTGCTACTAGTGTGAGTGGCTAAATCAGTGGATCTGATAAAAGCTTCACTAGCACCATTGATTACACAAGAGTTAATCTAGCCAGAAGCAGTCCATGGTTAACAGGTATGTATACTTCAAATAGAAAGTATATGAATCCTGGAACCAACAAAGGTGGCAGGTACAACATTACACCTTCAAGCAGCCGAGCCTGTTGGCAACAGACCCAACACAATCAGGCATAAGTGTACCTACCAACCGAACTAGCTGGCACACACACACACACATGCACATACGTGTAACACAGCACCTGCTCAGCCGACGCCACACTCCTTCAGCGTACATCCCCCGGTGACAGCCAGGGGCGTCGGAATGTATCCGACATTGGTATGGTCATGAATGGGTGGAAGGTCCTGGTGTCCTCCTCCGGGAAAATGTGAGGGATATTGGGCCCAAAGAGTCCATATTCTATTTCCTCAAAAATCACAAGATGAAATTATTGGTACGACTTTGGCTGTACCTGCCGCACCGGTTCCGACGCCCCCAAACGGCCTTGGCCTAAAACAACTCTTTGCCCTACAGGCAGTGTTGTAGTGGTACAGTAGTCTGCACTTTGCTCGTATCCCGTACGCACGTGCCCTCACTATGCACGCACGCACACACCTTCTATGTGCTTCTTTATACACGGATGTTGATGAGAAATAAAGGGTTCTTCTTGACAACACAACAGGCAGCAATGGCTATGGGTTGCTTTCATCGTTTTTACTACCAGTGTATCCTCACGTACTTTTCATTTGACAAATTCTTCCGCAGTATAGGCCGCACTCTAAACACCAGAAATCACCCCAAAACTCCGGAAATACGATAACTCCATTGAAGTTAAAAGTTAAAACCTTTCCTTTTGTGACAACTGTGCTAGCTATAGATGTTTGGCTACCAGATTGAGCAACTGAAACATCCAGATGTATAGAAATTATCCTACCGTGGCCGACCTCCGGTGTACCAACACTGAACAGTCAAGTCTGTGCCTCTTTCAAAAACATCTGTTTTCACAATTTTATTGAACAAGTGGATGAAAAGTAAGATGGTTGCATGGTATCAAAGCCCATCAAGATTTGTTCATGAAGCTCTTCTTACACTAGAAACGGGAGTGGTCCTGGCGGATCCGGTTGCCTCACTAGAAGTAGGTCTTGCGCTAACACTGGCCATTGCTGATCGGCCAGAGTCACTGCCACTTCCTTGGGCACACCGTGGAAGGTAGTGTCCTAATATTATGGTCACAAACGTAGATATGTGTGCTTTCAGAGAAAAAACATCCGTGTTTCATAAAGTGAACCAAAAAATGCTCAAATCAATGCCATGCTTCTCTTTCTTTCATATACATTTCTGTCAAAACCTAACTTAAAAGGGTTAAAAACAGATATTAATGACTATTAAACACATTCTTACCTGCCGTGTAGAGCGAAGTTGTGATAGCTGATCATTCACCCGTCTGTTGGTCTCATCTAGCTGCTCACTGATGGATGCACGTAGGTCTGTCTGTTGACTGGAAACTACTGCTACATGTCCTTGCAGGCTGGTGACTTGTTCGGTCGTAGTCTCCAGTCGGTCACGGATCTCTGTCACTTGCTGGTTTGTAGTCTGCAGTTGGTCACGGATAGCAGTGGTTTCCAGCTGAGTGTCGACAAGACGCTGTGTCATGGTGCTGAGTTGTTCCTCTACTGCAGAGCTGCGTGCGGTGATGTCAGCAATGCATGTAGCTTGCTGGCCTAGCTGCTGTGAAGTCGACTCTAGTTGCCTGGTAACCCCTGTACCAGCAGTGCTAGGCTGACTCTATACAACACCATCAAATAAACACAGCGGACACACACATACACACGCAGACAAACACACACAAGGAGACAGACAGGTTGACATAATGACGGGCCAATTTTTAAAATGGTGATTTTGGTGAGTTATCTCATAGGGTGCAGTGACGCGGAAATTTGAAAATTCAAAACGTTACCTCGAAAGGGGCGTGGATAGTGATTTTTGAGAAATACCCTTTAGAAACACATCCGATATGTCCGATACATTCGTGATATGTCCGATACATTCGTGACATATCGGATTGTGTACATACATGCGCATTATTGTACTTCCATGTACTCATATTGACAGGTGTGGAGCATAGAATACTTTCTCCAGCAAAGCACGCCTCACTCAAGTGCATGCAGCGCATCCTGCACTGTCCCTTGTCGCTTCTGTTGACTTCATGCACATGAATCAGAGCGCACTTCGACCCTGTTGCTGTCAAACCTGACAGCCCAGATTGCAGTTTTGGTTAGTTTTGGTGGCTGTGTGCAGGTCCAATATGGCACTTGGTGCACTAAGTCACTGGTCGCGCAAGGCAGGTGGTCGCTGTATCCAGTCCACATCGATGAGCACCTGACCTTCCGACCCCATATCTCCCTCCTCCGTGATGACATTAATAAGAAGCTAGGTGCTCTTTGGCGAGGCAGAGACAACCTGGACAGTAAGGCCCGCCGAGCTTTCTATCTCGGAGTTCTACAGAACAAATTAGAGTACGCCAGCACATCATAATTATGCTCATTCATTACACGGTGCAGAATACGATAAGCTTCTAGGACTGAGCCGCCGAGCCGTTCGTATTGTATTTGCCTACCCTTTCCGTGCTGACGTTGAGCCCATTTTGTGTTGTCGCAACCTCCACCCACTCAGCCCACGCCTCACTCTTAAACTTTTCATTTTTACTTTTTGGTGCATCAGTTCCCTTGGCAGTCCCCTCATCTCCCAAATCCATACGACCCGAAATGATGCTACCCACACCACCTCCCAAACCAGAGGCCAAACATCCAGTAGTCTCTTCCTACCCCCATTCATGTCCAGTCCAGGCCTCTACAGTCTCTCATTTCTTGGTGCTGACCGCTTTAATGCACTTCCCGCTAACATTCGATCCCAGCGTACCTTGCCTGCTTTTCGCGCTACCTGCTCACAATTTCTCCTTGGGCACCCTGTAAGAAGGCCATAGGCCTGTTGGGTATACCCCAAGTAAAATAATAAATACTACTACTGCTACTACTACAGTGCAGTTTCTGTGTAGAACTGTCCGTGCATGGAAAACGGTCGTTTAAAGCAGGTGGTCGCTAAACACAGAGGTCGCTAAACACAGAGGTCGTTAAACACAGAGGTCGTTAAACACAGAGGTCACTAAACACAGAGGTCACTAAACACAGAGGTCACTAAACACAGAGGTCACTAAACACAGAGGTCACTAAACACAGAGGTCACTAAACACAGAGGTCACTAAACACAGAGGTCACTAAACACAGAGGTCACTAAACACAGAGGTCACTAAACACAGAGGTCACTAAACACAGAGGTCACTAAACACAGAGGTCACTAAACACAGAGGTCACTAAACACAGAGGTCACTAAACACAGAGGTCACTAAACACAGAGGTCACTAAACACAGAGGTCACTAAACACAGAGGTCACTAAACACAGAGGTCACTAAACACAGAGGTCACTAAACACAGAGGTCACTAAACACAGAGGTCACTAAACACAGAGGTCACTAAACACAGAGGTCACTAAACACAGAGGTCACTAAACACAGAGGTCACTAAACACAGAGGTCACTAAACACAGAGGTCACTAAACACAGAGGTCACTAAACACAGAGGTCACTAAACACAGAGGTCACTAAACACAGAGGTCACTAAACACAGAGGTCACTAAACACAGAGGTCACTAAACACAGAGGTCACTAAACACAGAGGTCACTAAACACAGAGGTCACTAAACACAGAGGTCACTAAACACAGAGGTCACTAAACACAGAGGTCACTAAACACAGAGGTCACTAAACACAGAGGTCACTAAACACAGAGGTCACTAAACACAGAGGTCACTAAACACAGAGGTCACTAAACACAGAGGTCACTAAACACAGAGGTCACTAAACACAGAGGTCACTAAACACAGAGGTCACTAAACACAGAGGTCACTAAACACAGAGGTCACTAAACACAGAGGTCACTAAACACAGAGGTCACTAAACACAGAGGTCACTAAACACAGAGGTCACTAAACACAGAGGTCACTAAACACAGAGGTCACTAAACACAGAGGTCACTAAACACAGAGGTCACTAAACACAGAGGTCACTAAACACAGAGGTCACTAAACACAGAGGTCACTAAACACAGAGGTCACTAAACACAGAGGTCACTAAACACAGAGGTCACTAAACACAGAGGTCACTAAACACAGAGGTCACTAAACACAGAGGTCACTAAACACAGAGGTCACTAAACACAGAGGTCACTAAACACAGAGGTCACTAAACACAGAGGTCACTAAACACAGAGGTCACTAAACACAGAGGTCACTAAACACAGAGGTCACTAAACACAGAGGTCACTAAACACAGAGGTCACTAAACACAGAGGTCACTAAACACAGAGGTCACTAAACACAGAGGTCACTAAACACAGAGGTCACTAAACACAGAGGTCACTAAACACAGAGGTCACTAAACACAGAGGTCACTAAACACAGAGGTCACTAAACACAGAGGTCACTAAACACAGAGGTCACTAAACACAGAGGTCACTAAACACAGAGGTCACTAAACACAGAGGTCACTAAACACAGAGGTCACTAAACACAGAGGTCACTAAACACAGAGGTCACTAAACACAGAGGTCACTAAACACAGAGGTCACTAAACACAGAGGTCACTAAACACAGAGGTCACTAAACACAGAGGTCACTAAACACAGAGGTCACTAAACACAGAGGTCACTAAACACAGAGGTCACTAAACACAGAGGTCACTAAACACAGAGGTCACTAAACACAGAGGTCACTAAACACAGAGGTCACTAAACACAGAGGTCACTAAACACAGAGGTCACTAAACACAGAGGTCACTAAACACAGAGGTCACTAAACACAGAGGTCACTAAACACAGAGGTCACTAAACACAGAGGTCACTAAACACAGAGGTCACTAAACACAGAGGTCACTAAACACAGAGGTCACTAAACACAGAGGTCACTAAACACAGAGGTCACTAAACACAGAGGTCACTAAACACAGAGGTCACTAAACACAGTGGTCGTTTACGCCAGGTTTTACTGTACCGTACCAGCAGTGCTGTACTGAGTCATGGTGAATGTATGCAGGGCATAGTCATTGGGCTCTTCCGATTACACACATTTCGGTCAATTCTAGAATTAGTCATGGTGGATGCACCGTTCGATTACACAAATTCAGCGCTATTGTACACTTCAGTTCTTGCATGCCCCCTATCCACCCGCCGCCATGACCACTTATGCCAGCTTACACACAGAATATTCCTTTTCAAAATCCCGAACCACCTAAAAAAAGTATGATTGGTTCCACCGCAGTCGAAATACCCGTAACCAGGTCTCGCTCCACGTCCCTCGTTTATCTGTTCTTCTCCTATCTCCCCTGTTTCTTGCCTACCCTAATTGGCTCTCCCTACCGTATAGCCTATACACTGCAACGTCTACGTCAGATTTTCAGAATGCACTGAGTGATGTGAAATAGGCTGACCACTGTCTCGCTGTAGTCAACTGTTATCTCATTTTTTTCTTCCTCTTTTTCTCCCCGTGGTTGGTTTGTCACCCTCGCTTCCTTGTACTGGCCATGTTGTGTGCCATGAAGTGATGAAATATAACAAGTAGACTTGGGTGGAGAGCCAAGGATCAATTTATAAGAAGAAATAAAAAGATGTGCTAGAGCTGATTGCCAGTTAGGTGTAGAATTTCAGTACCGTTGGTCAATGTCGGGCAATGTTATCGCATGAGCTGATTGTAAAGTAACTGGTGGTGTTAGTGGATGATTTTAGTGTAACTTGTAGCTCTTTGGTCCTTTTTCTTCTTATAAATATAACGATACGAAAGAATATTGGTCGCGAGCTCAAACGTGAAATTCGCGATGCTAAACTCCCGAAATACCACAAATTCTACTTTCTTCGCAAAATGATCCAAACAAAATCGTTACAAATTAATTTCATACCAAATTGCTTACCGGGGACAAATCACGCGCCAGCTTTACCGTGTCCAGAACTATCTCATGCAGCTCCTCAGCCCTGGGACGGTCATCTGCAATGACTGCCAGGCAGCGGACGATTACATGCCTGAGCGGATGGCCGTCTGGTATTCTTCCCAAATCACCACTGCGTCGCTCGACTTCGCTGATAGCGATGACGGTCTCTTCACTCGTTCCGTCCGCTCGCTGGACAGTATGAACCCGGGATCTTGGTGCTGTGAGCAGGTCTGTCGACGGTTCAACTCCGGTCAGGACGCTCGTAGCCAGCACGCCAAAAGAAAATATGTCCAGTGATTCGTCGTACACCGGAGGGTTTAGCAGAGCCTCCGGCGGCATATAGAACACGTTCCCTGGACATGCTGTGAGATCTGGCAACAAGCCAACCAAATCCGCAGGATTTGTTGCGCACAGTCGCGCACAACCAAAGTCACAGAGCTTGGCGATCTGGCCCGTGATCAAGACATTCCGCAAAGTCAGGTCACGATGAATCACTGGTGGATCTCTGCTGTGGAGGTAACGAACGGCAGCCATAGCATCAGCCAGGAACGATAGCAGGGTGACATGGTCCAACCGATCTGGACCAACACTACATTGATAAAGTGTACGATCCAATAGCTCCACCACTAAAACTGGCAAATGACGATCGGCGGTGACTGCAATGCCGAGAATTTGACAAAGACGAGGGTGCTGGAGGTGAGACAGTCTGGCTATTTCAACGCCAAATCGCTGAAGCCTCTCATCTCTCCCCTCCACACCTGGTTGGACAAGGTTCGGGTGCAACACCTTTGCAGCAACCGGTATGCCTTGCCATACTACTCGATACACAGCAGCATCGGAACCGCGGCCAATCTCATCCTCGTCTCTAACGGTGAAAGTACCAAGGTAGGCGATTTGCCCTTTGCCTAAGCTAAGATCTCGCAACAACACCGCTTCAGGCGTTGCCATCGCCAACACTCTGGCATACCAGGCGATCCAGGCAGGGTGGAGGATGTCCAAAAATCAAACGTGTGAGTTTAGTCTTCCAGACAAAATGAAAATTGCCAGCTCAGTGGCCAGTCGATCTGCGCTTTGGTTCACGAGAATCACCTGATTGCAGTTATGCGTGTCTTTTTTGTTTGCGTCTCGAACAACAGGGTAGATCTTAGCAACACTCCAACAGCGCTCTGCTTTCCGGGCCTGGCCACAGGGTCTGGGCTCGCCAGGAGCGCGGCAGCAGCCTAGCCGACGTGTAGCCGTGCATGCATGAGCTGCAGCATGACTTGTCACGATCGCGGACCATGTCGTGTGGGCTCAACTCTACAAACGAACAACGCAGCTGCCTGTGTGCTGGGACTGCTGTCCCCTCTACCTGGGTCTGGGCCTAGGCGCCTGGCTCTGGCCCTTTCGACACAAAACACAGACTCAGTGGTATCCATCGTGGGCTTCGCGTGTAAAACATGTCGAAGGCGGGCAGCAGGGGATTACCATTACCTTTCAGACATCCACGTGCACATGCACTTACCCGCCACGTGTAGCTCTTAGGGAAGGTGGAGCCACCGCGACTGGCTGAAAATGGCCTGTGTTTTCCGAACAAGCGAGCACTCACCTGGCTGTAACTGTTGTACCCATGGTCCCTGCTGCCCGGCAACGTCTCTGACAGATTCATGAACCACGTGACGTCTAGTCCAGGTGAGCATGCTGCATGTATACAATATACGATATACTCAATAGACATTGGCGTTCGAATGATGCAGCCGCAAAATCTAGAATTTGACTGGTAAAATTTAATTATCACATACATGTTCGTAGATCTACGTACTGTGATGATTGTAGCTACATGTACATGCACGTAACCGTCGTTGTACGTGTGCTTGTCGGTACAGTAAAACCTGGTGTAAGCGACCTCTGGGTTTAGCGACCACCTGCTCTTAAAGACCGTTTTTCCTGCACCGACAGTTCTACACACACACACTGTGGAATCTGGTTCTAAAGACCACCTGGATTTAACGACCGCTTTTGCTTGCACCGTGGGGTGGTCGCCTAAACAAGGTTTCACTGTACATACATTGTACATGTACATGTAACCATTGACGATTGTATGCAGAGCAGCCACAATGTAGATAGAGCGAGGATTGCAACATCCACACCAGCAATAACAATGTGTTGTTGTACAGGGAAATGCATGGACAGTGGGATGGTGAGATCGCGTGATTTTCCCTCGGCAGACTTTGTTCTCTCCTAGCCGCACCGGGAGAAAGAAACAGTAATTCCGTTTGACCAAGTCAAATACGATTGGGCAGTTGATTTTCCGCGCTGAGACTGGCAGCGTTGAGCGTATCATGACAAGAGTAGTCAAAGTTGGCAGTTCTTCTAAACCGTTGGCAGTTCTTCTAAACCGTTGACAGCACAGTGACAGTGCAGGCGGTAAATTCGTGGTTGACTGCTGCAGGCAAAGCGATCAACGCTCTACAGCTGCTTTCATGGAGGATCATGTACTGTTTGATGTTCTAGCCAGTGGGTTTGTGAAGCACTACTCCCTAGATCGATATTAGGATGAGCTCTGTCAGTGACTCTGCGCTCGGAGCTACTCCGCTCATGAGACATACCTATCAAGGTCGAAAGATGTCATGGTAGGCAAGATGTAAGAATGAAGCAGCACTTGACTGACTCACGACTGCCGTCTGGAGCATACGAGAAGCATGTCGACCCTTCGGGTCCACTCAGCAAACCTGCAAGAATGCATCACTTCCTGCTAAAAACTCAGTGTTTCGGGGAACTCACCCATCATCAGTTGAGCTTGAATAAGTTGATGAAATATTTGCTCCGAGAGCACTGCATTACTAGTATTAATTTTTAAAGACAAGGAAATCCGCTCCAGGGCAGCTTTCTAACAATAGTTACTGTCACAATATTGTCGTCTAGTCCTGGATTCTTCCGCTAAGAAATGGGTGGCGTTGTTGATCTGTCGTCGCTTCGGGCTCCATCCAAAAAGTAAGACATGTACCAGGCGCAATTTCAAATTTTACACTCAACCTCACAATACTCACACCCACACTGACCGATCCCATTTTTATATCTAAGGCCACCCAGAATTAATTCCTTGTTTCGGGTCACCCGACCGACTGTCTTTCTTCACCCGACCGCAAACTGTGTTTTTTATAGTGCATGCAAATGTACATGACTAGACTACATGTATGTAGACAAGAGACCCTATTAATAGCAGTCCAGACATCGACCTCAGAAGCAGCCAAATGACAGGATGCAGCGCTTGGTGACATTGTCTTCTACATGTATCTCCGATCCGCAATCGATCCTGAAACAGTATCAGCTCCGCCACCTTGTCGCTCATTGACAGAAGTTTTCAAAGTGAGAGCTGCTCGTCAGACTCGTTTGCTAGCGAGGCCAAGATCTTGTCCTGGAGGGGACCTGGATCTGATGGGACAATGATTGCTCTGGATCGTCTACAGTCAGATTTGATCTACTGGCTTGATGGACAACAGCTATTCGATATGCACAATTGTACACGTATGCACATGGCCGAAACCAAAATAAAAAATAAAATAAAATAAAATACAACCCGACCGACCGACCCTGGTACGGATGAGTGAAGTGACCCGAAACAATGAATGAATTCTAGGTGGCCTAATTGAACAGCGAATACACGGTGATTCTTTAGCATGACACTTGAATAATAGAAAGTGTCTGCTCCGAGCGTCTTTCGTACTTGTATAATAATTATTCAACTCAATACAATGCATTTCAATGGATAGAGGAAGGAAGGGAATGGGGTGCTCACCAGTACATGTACATTGTACATGTACGAGTACGTGGTGCAAACGACTCCCTGGGACTCACAGTACTTCGGGGGTAGGGGGGGGGGTGATTATCGTCGGGTTGGGAAGTGGACCCAACAACAACAACAACAACAACAACAACATCTCTTATTGGCCACTGGCTATCGTGAGAATAAATATTTGAAACAACAACAACAACAACAACAACAACAACAACAACAACAACAACAACAACAACAACAACAACAACAACAACAACAACAACAACAACAACAACAACACCAACAACAAAACTTAAGTACACAACTCTGTATGCTCGTGTGGCGACCACCCCTGCCCGTACACTTAAGTAGTCATTAACCCCTAGGCCCTGCCCACCCAATTCTTCCTCACTCTTTCTCCTTTCTTACACTATTATCTCTTATTGGCCACTGACTATCGTGCGAATAAAGATTTGAAACAACAACAACAACAACAACAACAACAACAACAACAACAACAACAACAACAACAACAACAACAACAACAACAACAACAACAACAACAACAACAACAACAACAACAACAACAACAACAACAACAACAACAACAGGCCATCGTGAGAATAACAGATTTCAAACAACAACAACAACCCATCTGGGACTAGTGCGAGGAAGCGGGGAAGAGCGTCCCGAAAACTACCCAATGTAACAATGAGACTTACAGACACTGGAATAGGTACCAGAAGCAAGGTGAAGAGGCGAAGTGAAGGAGATTTTAGTCCGTCCATACTAGCACTGGAAGTGATGACCTCGATCAACAAGAGGAAACGAGGAAGACCACGAAAGGTAACAAAAGCGACCGTGGATTCGACGGATGCTGGATGGGTCAACCGGAACATCCAAAATAACCAAGCCCAACGGAGGAGAACACCGGCAAGAGTCGAAGGTGACGGATTTTAGGGGTTTACCGACCATTCACCGAACGACAATTCACCGAAAGACACTTCACCGAAAGACACTTCACCGAAAGACAAATTATCGACTGGACAATCCACCGACTGGGCAATTCACCGAAAGACACTTCACAGAAAGACATTTCACCGAATGGCGATATCACCGACAAGACAGCTCACCGAAATTCTACTGTAAATTGTAATGACTGGTTCGTAGTCAGGCTAACTTCACTGGCGCTCAGTTTCGCAGGGCTGAAATGCTGGCACTGACGTACTGCCACTACTGGCGCTGGTTGCACGTTATGTGGCAAATGTACACTGTAGTAAATGTACAGTCAGACGTCGCATAACCAGTGAGTGCATGTGTCGGGTTTGCGTGCAAAAATTACTACATTTCCACGGTTAAGGGGGCACATCACCCAAAAAATTTCATATGGCATTCAATTGACCGTAACTTTGGTGTTTCTCAGTGGATTTGAGTGAAATTTTGACCACACACTCCTGCCACTATGCTGGCCCTCAGGACATGATTTACAAGTTCATGCGCCTCACTGACAGGCTTTCCAGGCCGGAAAAACTCAAATTTCCGGCATAGTGCCACGGTGTGCGAGCCACCCAGGAGCCAAACAAATGCATTTACATTTTTCACATTTCCGTGCCCATTCTGTCCGTGCGCGGGACCCAAACCTAAAACAAGTCCAGAAGCAGCCATGGGTGGTGGGGTAGGGCCCCTCTACGTGGCCCTGGAATCTGTCACAACGGAAGGAGTGGGCGTTCTCTCTCGGACTCCCACAGGCCCAAGTCAATTTTTGAATTTTTTTAGGTTTAGCACGTGCTACGAGGTCGTACCTTTGATACAACATCCAGTGCTGGGACCTCCACAGCAAGCCATTTCCACAGCGCTGCACACCAAATCCAGAATGCCCTCAGAAACCGGCAAAGACTGCCACTCACGTTTCACTACTGCCTAGTACTGAATCCTACCTGACTTCTTGACACGACTCAAACTTGCCAAAGTCACTAAATCAACGTCAACTACAATAATCAAGCCACATATCTGCAACGTCACGAGGGTGCTGGCAAAAGTCCTGCTGCACGGCGGCGGGCTTCGCCCGCCGCCGTGCAGCCCAATACGTGGTTTTTTAACGTGATTTTTTGGACTTTTTTGGGTTTGGGGCAAAATTCTGCACACTTTCGCGTGTTTCCATAATACGACAAGTTGCGCACGGTCTGCTCACATTCAAATACAGTGCTGCCAACAAATGACAGCATGCAACAAAAAATCTTTCCTTGCAAGGGCACATTTTCGGCCATAACTCTTGAACGGCTGGTCAGATAGGGACACAGTTTTCAGAGAATTTGCAGCTATTCATGCTCTTTCAACTGACGTAGCACTCAATATGAATTTACAAATTCGATTTTTCAGCGAATTTTTGGGTGATGTGCCC